ACCTTCCTTGACAAAAGAGTATATTTACATAAACAAAAAAATTTCTTAGAGGAGTGCTCGCCGAATGAATCGATTAACTAAGAACAATACAACCTAAACTAAATGCAACAGTACCCCAATAATAATGCCAAAAACTTAATGTTTATAAATCTAGTATTAAATTTATAATAGGAAATACCAGAACTAGGGATTGTTAACACAATTTGGGAAGTGTGGCTAATTGTTTAGTAGTATAGTTGAGGTAAGAAAAAAAATCAACTAACAGTTAAACTTAAATAATATTAAAAGTTAGAGATTTGAGTTTTGAATCTAAAATCTAAACTTCAAAAGAGAAACTAATGCAAAATGTATAACACATTGGAAAACAAGTTGTAAAAAAGAATGATAAGGATGCTTTCACTTAGACTTGATTCCATATTTAGTTATGGTTGATTTATACAAAGTGCAATGTATATTGGTTGTTATTCACTGATTCCTAAGTTGATTAGATCCATTGTGTGACATCCTCTACTTTTCATAACCATTTTTTTCTTTACACTTTAATAAACACAATACTTTTGTTTGTCGAAAATCCCAGTACAATAAAACATTTTGCATAAACTATTTTGTTTATTAAATATCTTGAGTAAAGATGTTGTTTCATAAAACAAAAAAAAGAACTAAGGATGTCATAATCAATACACAACATATGTTATAGCATAAAGAACTAACGGTCCTGAACACTATTCAAGGTTGTTTCTTAATCACTTGGCATCCTAATCAAGTTCCAGTAGCTTTAACTCTGTTACCCCATATGCATATAATTTGCATGTGTTAGGTTGGGAAACCTGGTAAGATACATATGGTTTTAAATACCACAATATTATTATGATAATAATTTATAATTATCAAACCTACAAAACCAACTATTACCAAACAATATAGATATATCTCATCTTAGATATTTATAAAACCTTACACCCATACATAACCATCCTAACCGATTCTCACAAATCCTAGTCCACGATTATTTGTAAGAATCAACTAACTTGATGAATCGTTTATAACAATGGTTTGACTACACAACTAGGGGCTTCCTTGGCCGGTGTAAGTCATAATGGAAAATTAACCCATCAGAGTATTTGATAAATATGGTATCCCATTTCATCTACTTTTGTAGGTTATAAGTCCACATTAGAGATGTAATTCACAAGACTGTCTAGAATAATCAAGTGTTGTCATCTTACTCTAGGAGATCATCAAACATACCATTTCTGCTTCTTGATCGGACCCATGATCGAAACCACCATATTTGGCTATCCAAAGGAATACTAAATCATACTCCGATACGTAATCCATACATTGACACTTGATGGTGTGACATAACAGAGCTCTACTCTCCGTTCCTATCGCACATACCCTTACTATGATGTTACCTGATATCCAAACTTAATTAACCTAAACATCCTTTATAAGTCTTATTTCATTACTAGGAAACACTATAATACTTTTAATCAACTTACAAAACCATTTCCCATCTATACCATATTATCGTAATATAGTATATGACTATACTTTTATCAAACTTAACTGGAAATAATCATCCTTTATATGTTTTAGTTTAAAAATAGACTAGACTATAACATAAATAGTCAACTTTCAATATGTATTCCCCATTAATGCAATATTATTTGAATAAAGGGTATGACTAAGTACTTATCCAACGTATTTCATACTAAGCATCCTTTATAAATATTACTTCAAGACTATGATATGTATAAACAATTTCTAAAAACATTTTTTATGAAATACTTATCATACTATAGGCTTATATATATATATATATATATATATATATATATATATATATATATATATATATATATATATAACGCAATATTCAAACGACAAGTATTTTGGTATAATTTTAATATTTTTAAGTAATATTACTTGTATCAAGATTATCACACAATATTACCAAAAATACGTTTAGCATATAATAATCTAATATAGTTATGTAATATTTTCACTTATACATTTAACACGTATTCTAGATAACAAGCAATGAATTCACATATAAAATATACTATTAGCATAACATTAAAATAACCATCTAATAGTGTAAATTTAATCTTTTAGTATTTAATACTTATATTAAATCATGCTCATTGAAGTAACTATTGTCAAACCCCCGGCTGAGGCGGCGGAACACGCCGGGCTGTGCGACTAAGTTCATGGATCACAGACAAATTGAATATATAGCACAAGTACAACAATAAACAAAATCGCATTCATTATTCCATCATGATATTTGAATACAATGTTTTTACAATTAATAATAATAATACATGAATTATCTTAACATGTAGGCATATAATACTACAATAAGTAAGTTAGGTCACCTGTAATTCAATCTGTCTTGAAAATCTGTTTAACGATTTCCTGAGAATACATGTAGTTTTGAAAGTCAACATAAGGATGGTGAGTGTCACAGGTTTTCTGCTAACACAGTAATACTTTTAATAAGTCTAAAAAATATTATCTTTGTATATATAACGATAGTTAAAAACAGTATTTGCAAAGAGTCTTTAAAAGCCAAGAATGTAATTTGATATGATCAAATTCATGCTTTTAACATGTACTTGTAATAACTCCTTGAAAGTCAAAATAAATTCTTTGTATAAGTAACTTCCATACTTAAAAATCTACTTGTAATGACTTCTTGAAAGTCAAAATGAATGCTTTGTATAAGTAATTTCCATACTTAAAAATGTACTTGTAATGAATTCTTAAAAGTCAAAATGAATGCTTTGGATAAGTAATTTCCATACTTCAAAATGTACTTGTAATGAGTTCTTAAAAGTCAAAATGAATGCTTTGTATAAGCAATTTCCATACTTAAAAATGTACTTGAAGGAAACCAAACATATGGTTGTAGTAAGAGAGAGAGAGAGAGAGTGAGAGATTTGTGTTAATGTTTTTATTGAGTTCTATAATCGAGCTATGGACAAAAAGTACCCCTCCCTACGACGCTTCATTGGACGTCGTAGTAACAATCGTAGACACAAATCATCTGCTACGATTGATCAGTCGATGGTTGTAGCTAGCAACCGTAGGTGGGGTTGTCGACCCCATATAGATCTATACATATGTACCTCGCTCCTAAGATTAACGATTATAGTAGTGTGGGGCAGACTAAGTGATTAAACTCAACTAATAAAGAGTAGCGTCTCACTCAAAAAACATTAACGAAAAGTTTGTGAATAACTCTCAACCCTAACTTAATTGAAATTAAGTGCCATGCATAATGAATTTCGTAGTATAGCAATCGTAATAGCTGAGTATTGTTGTCGTGTTTATAAAAGTATAAAGTACTCGCTTTTATATAGAAGTATGTTCCAAAGTAATAATCATATTGCCATGTATAAACTTTATGCATTTAAACATGTAAACATACATGAATAGTAACGGCTTGAATCCTTGAAATAATATAAGGTTTTGTAACGTGCTTTTATAATATGAAATGTCACATGAAAATCATATAATCTTGTATCGTGTAGTATTTGTTGTGTGAAACGGTTATTTCACGATAAAATAATCATAACACGTATACGAAATGTTTTCACTAGTTTATTTTTAACAATATAGTAAATTGTTAAATAATAATATTTTTATAAACTATGTTTATTGTATTTTCGCATAAAAGATAATATATTTGTATAAACAGAATATATAGGCACATGTATTCCCCCGGAATAATTAAAATATTGAAAAGGGGCCGTAAGCACTCACATTTGAAGCGTGAATGAGGCTTGTGGTGTGAAACTTGTCGTGAAAGTCATTACGTGATGTTCCTCATTCTTAAAATGAATCTCCATGTATATCTATATTTCCTAATAAACCAAATGGTAGTTTGGTATTAATTAGTGAGTATATAGTGGTCTTTGTGAAAATAGTAGACTGTAGGGTTTGATTTTGCAAAAATCATACTTTAGGGGCTGATATTGAGAATAATTCTCAAGACATGGGTTAAACATGTGTATTTAAAACTATTGTAGGGCTTTAGGACTTAATTTATTAGGTTTTTTTGGGGGAGGGACCATTTATGTTTAATTTAAATACAAGTTTGATTTAGCTTTGACCTTTGACCGGTCAAAATCAAAACCTATTTGTTTTATCAGGGCTCCATGACCGATCCACACAAGTGGATCCATTTACAAGAAGGATCAGGGCTCTTACCCCGTTTCTTTGGTTTCATCGGGTAAAGGAACAACAGGCGATCGATGTCGAGTAACCGATCGTTCAAGGGCAAGCGACCGAAGATGGCGAGAAGGAAACTTATAGGTGCCTGGTCCACTACCCGGATGTCTTTACCGTTCGCGATTGTCTCCAGAGTTAGACGAGGCTGAAGAGACGGAGGTATGAGCAACGAGGCGTGTTTTTCTTAGGAATGGCAATGGGGCGGGTTCGGGGCGGGGAATGGATTCCCAAACCCGCCCCGATAACTTTCGGGTATCTTATCGGGGCGCCCCATTGGGTTTCGGGTTTCCCTGTCGGGTTTCGGGTATCTTATCGGGTTTACAACAACTGATAACGAAATCTTTATTCTCTTTTAGGGTACCCCAATGTCTTATAAAATATACATGTTCTAGCAACTCTTTTAAATTAAAAACATGATGCATCACTTTAATAAAATAAACTGGACGTTATATAAAAAAGTATTTGATTTAAGTTTTGTTTAATACGTCAAAACACATAAAAATGATCATTAACACCATATTGTTAATAACTAAAAAAATTGTCCACGATAAGTATTTTATATTTGAACGTGTACAACTAACAGCAAAATCTTTTGAACATATTATATATATATATATATATAATCGGGGCGGGGCGGGTCGGGGCGAGGATAACTCACTCCCTGCCCCGAACCCGATAAAAAACCCGATAACGACCCGTTACCCGACCCGAAATGATCGGGTTTCGGGTTTCCCCGTCGGGTTCGGGTTTTTTTGCCATCCCTAGTTTTTCTTGTCCGAATGCGAAGTGTGATGACCGGCATCGCTAACAGCGGTAGCAACAAGATGATAACCTTGAAGCTCTGTGGTCGATGGGAATCGTAGAGAAGGAAAACAAGGGAAAATGGCTCGATCGTTTTCCCAAGAGGGAAGGAAACGATCGTAGGTGTGCGATTTATTGAAGAAAAAAAAAGGGAATCGGAGGTAGTCAAGGTTTCGGTGGTGTTGATGGAGAAGCAAGGAAAAGGCGACTGTAAGCTGTTTAAGAGTCGAATAAATGAAGGCAGGAAGGAAAATGGTGGTGATCGCTGCTTCTTCTTCTCCAGTGAACTGTACCAATAAGGGCCTGTTTATGATCATGGGTTGCATCAACTGGCCATGGTGGTGGTTCGGCAGTGATTGGATCAGTCTGCCATAAAAAATAGAAGGAAGAGGGGAGGTTTGGTTGAAGAAGCTCGAAAATGGCGATGGTTTGCTAGCGGTGGCAGCCTCCTGCTGTCACCGTTCCTCTCCTGTTGCGAGAATGAGAAAGGGGGAAATAGTTGGATCGAATGGGATAGGTGAAGCGGCAACATTAATGGTCTTCAGGGGTGTTTGGTTGGTTAACTCGACGGGAAGGAGGGATGGAGTGAATAGCCAAGCTTCGGTTCCTCTCTTCCACTGATCATAACAGGTTTGCTTCTTCTCTTTTTCTTTGATTGTTTCATAGTAGTGGGTAAAAACTAAGTGGATGTCTTAGGATGGATCTCATTGGAAGGAAGGAAGACAGATTACAATAATCTCGAGGTGTTTGTTTGCAATGGTTTGCTTTTGTTTGGATAGATATCGATCGTGTGTTTGGTTGGTTCATTTGATAGGGAAGTGAAGGAGAAGAAGAACAACAACAAAACCTTAAGGTGTTTTAGGTGTTACTGTGATACCCTTGGGGAAGAAGAAAGATTGAAAGAGTGTTGTTGCCGTCTTGAATGAATCCTTGATAGTAATTGAAGGACAAATAGGAGAACTATTTTCGTGTGAATTTGTTTAAGTTGAAGGTTAGACTCAACAATTTGAATAGTACAGAAATTGATAGTGTACTTCTTTGGCAAGCTGTCAATTGAAAGAGTAAAGAATATAAAGAATATAAGTTTCATTTCAATATAATGTATTTGTTTCATTATGAAATGTGTAAAATTTGTAATTAACAAATTTTCATAAGTATCTTGTTTGGTTTGGATTTAGAAGCATTGTAATAACCCTATTTGTGCATTTGGATGAGTATTGATTTATTTATACTAGTTATATACACTAGCATGCGTATTTGGAAAAATGATATCTAATTTATATAGATAGTTATATTTTCAGTGTTGTATTTATTTATTTATTTATTTATTTATTTGTATTTGGTAGATTAAATATATGTATTTGTGTATGTATTTATATATTGTACTAGACAAATTCCCGCGCGTTGCGCAGCGAAGATTAAAAATATATTGTTAAAATATTGAAAAACATATGTTTAAAATGGTTATGTTATTGACATTAACTTTGAGATAATATTTTTACACTAATATATATATATATATATATATATATATATATATATATATATATATATATATATATATATATATATAATCTCTATTATTTTGAACAATAATGTTCATTGACATCGACCTGCATTCCTCATTAATAGAATTAAATATAATTATCTATTTAGTATTATTTTTAACAATTATTATTATTGATTATTTGTGTTTTTACTTATGCGATCATTTTCTAATTTTAATAATGATATTCATTTAAAATACAAATTATTTATAGGTAAATGTAATTTATAATTTGATGTTATTATCATTTAAAATTGTTATTCATTAGTTTTAAACCACTAAATAATAAAGTGATAAGATAAACAATTTGCATTTCAAAAGACACATGCATGGATAATATGACATATCCTTGTAATTTGATTTTATTTTTTAGAATTATTGCTTATTCATTTTAGAACCACTTGTTATTATTAATAAGTGAAAGAAACTTTTAAAAACCACTTATTGTTATAATTAAAATGTTAAACATATACTAAAATATAAAGTGATAAGATAGACGATTTACATTTTAAAAAAGGATTACATAGATAATATGGATAATATGACATATACATGATTTTTAATTAATTATTGTTTTGAAGAAGCATGAACATAAAAACATGTATACAATAATATTCTTAAAAGAATAATATTCTTAAAAGAATACTTAAAAGAATACTTAAATCAAGAAAATACAAAAAAGAATTAGTATATAACAAACTTACAAATTAAAAACTTCAACATAATAACATGGCTCAAAAATTGTTCAAAACCCTCAAACCAACACAAAAAACTTTAAACTCTTTTTCTTTGTGAATTTTGTATGTGATTTATATTTGTGTGTCTACTCAAAAAGATTGACCTTTTTATAGTAGATTATAGATTAATTGTTTATTAAATATATTATATAAGTTATAAAACCTTTGAATTGTTAATCATTATTAAGAGACTTTTGAGTGGTATTCATTAAAATTGGAGGTTTCAAATGCATGAGGTGTTTGCAAATTTTATGGGGGTTTCAAATGCATGAGGTTCAAGGAAAAATGTTAGCTTTATAAGTATGTATGATTTGGTCTTTTGGAATTATACACAAAACACAATCTTATGTGTAAATGTATTTAAGTTTTCGAATATATATATATATATATATATATATATATATATATATATATATATATATATACAATTATATATAATCTATGTATTCGGGTATTTTTAAGACTAAATAATATATATATATATATATATATATATATATATATATATATATATATATATATATATATATATATATATATTAGGTATGTAGTATTTATAAATTTGTTAAGCCTTGGTTGGTTAAGTTAAAAATGCAAGCATATATACTGTATATTTATGAAAATTTAACCAACCACATGCAATTTGTCGTGACACGTGTTCGTACCCGAATATACATTCATACATATAGCCGTTCACGGAATTATTGAATGTTGGGCTATTTGATTTGTTTGTCAGATTACATAATTGGAAGTAAGATATCATCTGATATCTTATAATAGATGAAATAACTCATTTATTTTATGTTAAATTCACTAAAACTTAATGAGTAGAATTTTTAGATGACTTACTATGAACTTGACCGTTCATAGTTTTTGACCTAAATTCTAGGATGTCACAACCATGCAGTCACCTGATTAAGGTGGAAGACTAGCAAAAAATTTAGATCATTGTCTAACACTTCAGCTTTCTCTTTTAAAATGACAGGTTTTCTAGCGAAAACTTAGAAACTCTATGGGCATAACTTCATCACTAAATCTTTCTTCTGAAAGATTCTTCCAGCTCTTTAGCGTTCAACTCATGAAGGACCGACATGTTCGAGGGTAAGAAGAGAAAGACTCTTAAAAAAGACTTGGTGCAATAAATATGAGAGCCTAAAGCCTCATATTTATAGTAAACGGATTTTCAAAAAGCACCCTTATAATTACTTAAATGACTAAACGACCATTAATAATACTATTTTAACTAGATTTAATGATATTTGGATTAAACTAATGTTGAAAGTATTCAATATTATTCTTATATCGACTGCATCGTCGATACATTTCTAATGACCTAAAAATGTGTATACACACACACACACACACACATATATATATATATATATATATATATATATATACGTATAAATATATATGATTTATACTTTATTTTACTGCATAACTAATCTATTATAAATCATAACTTCTTCATACGAACTCTATTCTTGACGTTCTTTATATCTCCACTTTCGTATCGATGAGTACTACAACTTTCATTTAGACGCCGTTGGTTAATTCTCATTCTGTTTTAAATTTACAAGTTTGTACAGGTTACACTACGAAAAAGCTGCATATCAAGCTTAGGGACAAATTTCCTTCATATCTTTCGCATATGAGCTCTATTTTCAACATTCTTTATATTTACGATTTTGTAATTATGATTACTACAAATTTCATTTAGATCACTTATGCTAATAAGAAACCTATCTCCATTTCATATTTTATGACACATGTTGTCGTGTAGGACATAACTCAAATCTTCGAAAAATCATAATTTTCTCATATAAAGTTAGATTTAAATGTTCTATATATCCACATGCTCATGGTTACATTCTCTATGACTTTTGATTATATTATTTATCCAAAATAATCTTTTATTTTTAATGTTATTTTAACGTTTAATGATAATTTTTATATTAAGATTTTTTTGCAAAGAGTAGATAATCTAATATTTGTTTACATATTGTGTATATTTTAATTATTTATTAGCTTGTAACATGTACGAAGAACAATTTCCCTATTCAAGGATTTAAAGTGTTCGATAAAATATATAATTATTATTATACCTTAAATGTCTATCCAAATTTGTAGGTGTTACACATTGGCCCGTTCCCTAATCTAATTATAATAAGGACTCTAATCATAATGGTAATGTAACTACTCATCCCTAAATCAATCTTTAACTTTAAATTATGCAATACTTAATCTTGTAATTAATCTCAATGGTCATGACAATTAACTAATGCACATATACATTAAAGTTCATTTCTTTATTAACATAACCCTAGGATTTTGTCTATTTCTAGTCATATTTGTCGATGCTCATTAACAACTATGATTTAAGCATACACAATTAGATTGGTCCTCTAAATCATGCAAACTCAACAATAGGCAACAAAGATGTAAACTTCTATACATATAGATACTTGATAAAGCAAAGATAATAAATTTGACAACTTCCAAGTAAGGAGTTTCCTCAATACTTGTTTTCACATAGCACTATCTTAGTCGACCCTATTATGTTATTTACGAGTTAGGTGTTGTTTGTTTTTTTGAAGGCAAAATGTCTGCAGTCTGCGGACCACATCTGCAAGCCTCTGCAGTAGAAGAGGTAGACCAAACGTTTGCAGTCTGCAATAAGAAGACTGTTTGTTTTTAACGTCTGCATGCTACTGAAATAAACTGAATTTTAAATAAAGTTATTTTACAAACTTAAAATGATTTTGCAACACAAATTTTTTTAATAATAATAGTCTTATAACATTGAAAATAAAATTCATGCAACTAAATTAGTCATACAATAAAAGAAATTGTGTTACAATAACAATTTCATTTAAAACAATTCAATCTATATTGTGCATCAACTGATCAACAATTTCATCACGAAACTAAGTCATATATTCACGGTCTGCTACAGTACCATGTGTTGGAATCCCGTCTTCATCATCATTAATGACCACATTGTTATTTCGAAACGGGACATTGAGTTCATCGTATCGTGCGAAATACTCATCACTCAGTCCTTCTCTCCTTATATAATTATGAAGCGCGAAACATGCCATGACAATGTTTCTTTGTGTCACAAACGAGAATGGTGCCGTCCTCTTCAATATACGGAAGTGTGCTTTCAAAACACCAAAAGCACGCTCAATGACATTCCGAAGATTTGCATGTCTATGGTTAAATTTTTCTTTATTGGTCAATGCATGTCTTTAATGAAAATCTCCAAGCTAATACCTCACATTACGATAAGGGGCCATAAATCCTTGAGTGTGTGCATACGCGACATCACAAAGATAATATTTGTCTGAAAGAAATGCAAAACACTAAACAATTTTCAAATTAAGATACAAATATTGAAAAAACAAAAACTTACCTAGTGTTGGAAATGGGAATGATGCTTGTGGATCGGTTACTGCTTCTGATAATATTCTAGAGTCATGCGCTACCCCTTCCCACCCGGTCACAACAAATGTAAAAATCATATTGAAGTCACAAATTTCCAAATACGTTTTGGTAGCAATCTCCCTTTCCCCTACTTCTATATAAGTCTTGTTTCTTAGCAGGAACAACAACATGTATCAAAGTGCCATCAAGTGCACCAACCGCTCATTTGAAAACCCTTTGTAGCCTCCTATTATATACTGGAATGTTTGGATTTGGATTAAAAAAATTTGGTACTATAACATCTTGTGCAAAAAGCATCATTTTTTCCAACACTTCATAAAAAATTTATGAATGGTTTGTTTTGAGTGTTGAAATCTCCGCTTGATAATCACATAACGTTGATTATGGCCAATCATCATAAAAAAACATAGCAATCTTTTCCTTAACCGATACATGTTTGCTGTCCCTTAATGAGTAATTTGCTCTAAAATGAGCACATAGTCGTACAAAAGAGTAACGAGACATGCGTAGTACTTCAACACATTGTAAACGATTACAGTGTAATAACTCCAATGTGTATTCATGTCCCGTCATTTCCGAATCATTATCCCGCAATCGTTTCACACCCCTCTTCCAAAAATAATGGATGTATAGGTATATAAGAATTACAAGAAGTAACTTTTGATCGTGATCCATATGAACCTAAAATCAACAAAGTAGAACTTTAAAAAACATTACATAAACCATATTTCAAGTAGCAAAAAAACATTACATAAACCATATTTCAAGTAGCAAATAAACATTACATTAATCATATTTCAAGTACCAAAAAAACATTACATAAACCATATTCCAAGTAGCAAAATAACAAAAAATAGTTGTTCCAAGTAGCAAAATAACAAAAAATAGTTCCAACAAGGGCAAAAAGACATAACAAAATAGTTCCAACAAGGGCAAAAATACCTAACAAAATAGTTCCAACAAAGGCAAAAACATCTAACAAAATAGTTCTAACAAAGGCAAAAAGACCTAACAAATACTTTCAACACTCGAAAATCATCGGACAATCTTTCCATCCTTCAAAACTCCTAGACTTGTACCCATCATCTCAAGCCATCCTCGTAATATCTCGGGAACATTGGGCAAATGCATCCACATCTCTCTCATGTTCATGGTCCCTCCAAAAATATGATATGCGACAAAGCATAAAGGATCTGTAGGGCCTAACTAAAGCCCTGCTAACTTCTCTAAATATTAAGGAATTGTATACCCTTTAGTCAAACTTTGTAGAGCTTTTTTCATTTCAAATGCTAAGTCATCAGCAGTAATAGAAGTTCCATCAGGTGAAGAAGCAGACAGTGAGGCACTAGGAGCTATAGGAATTAAGGGTTTAGCCCTTTTGTTGGGGTTACGAGATGGTGAAGCAGTATATGGTGAAACAGTAGAAGGTAAACCAACAGAAGGTGAAGCTGCAGAAGGTGAAGGATCATGATGGGAAGTGTCAACACCATCATCATCTATTGCCTGAAAAGGGGTGGCGGTGATCTGAAGTGGTGGAACACGACAGGATGCTCCAGCTACTGATGATGATTGGGTTGACTAACTCTTAAAATTATCGGTGTCACTATTTCCATCAAAAAGATATGCACAAAGATATGGAAAAGGCAGTAGAATTGTTCTTAATGAAGCAGTTTTCGGATGCCCAAAAACTCAAATGTAACAAAAAATTGTATAAGAATATTTGGCAACTTCAAACGTAAATGTTATATATATATATATATATATATATATATATATACACACACACACACACATTAATGTATATTAATGTATCTGTACCTTCTTAAAATCATCCCACTCCTTGGCTATTAAATTAAAAGTGTCTGTTTGAGAATTGTATATATTACTAGTTTTGTTTTTTAAATATACCCATCCAGTGTATTTGGCCTTCAGATTGTCATATGCGTTTTTCATTTGTTTTTGAGTCAACTCAACCCCAAATTTCTCCTTAAGAACTCTTCCAAGCCTTATCCATGAAACTTTCTGCAAACTCAATCCTTTTCTACCAACACTCTTTACTTCTTCAATACAAGAATCCAATAAGCATTTTAAATGCTTATTGGTCCATTGTTGTTTTTCTCCCATTTCTAATAACCAATATAACATAGACAAATATAATTTCATAAGGTATTACATATCATACACATTCCAACAAAAAAAATAACGATTTGAGACAATAAAGAGTATTTACAAAACCAAATAACAATAAACAGTCAACAACTAACATCATTATTTCACAGCCTTATTTCAAGAAAAAGCTTGATTTCAGCACATTCTAGACAAATTATATCATCCACAAATCGAAATGGCTACCTATTTAGGAAATTGAAAGGGTAAATTTGTAATTTTGTTTTATTTTCAAAAATAATAATGTGTAATTTTCTTTTATTTTCACAACATTATTTCAATAAAATATTACATTAGCGCACACGGGCAAATTTGTCATTTTGTTTTATTTTAAATAATAATAATGTGAAACTTTTTATTCAACTATAAATAACCTGAATTAGAGTGTTTTAATTCAAAGTTTTCTAAAAAACTTTATAAATCAAAATCATTAGTACCAACACACATCCAAACATCTCATGAGTTTTCCATTTTACTTCTATCAAATAAACAAAACTTATGACTCGTTTTGATGCTTTCTATCATATGCATATACACAATCAACAATCATATACATATACAATATCATATACATATACCCAAAATAACAAACATATACATATACACAATCAACAATCATATACATATACACAATCAACAATCATATACACATACACAATCAACAAAAGAATATGTTATCTTTTGCTTGGCAGTTATGTATATTGGCTTCCAATCAAAGAAAATTATAGATCCAATTTGTTTACAGATCTAATTTGTTTAGAGGTAAGATTTTCAATTTGCTGGGAATTTGTTTATAGGTAGTATTTTCAATTTTAGCAAGAATATATGATAAATTATACGCCTCCAAGATTTTCGGGGAAACAAGGATGCGAATCAAACAAGAAATCGAACTGAAATTGAAATCGACAGAGAGAGGAGGTGATGACAAACCTGTTCGCTCGATGTTCGCTGCAATCGAAGATGTCACCTGGACGCCTACGATCGAAGAGGAGGGTGACGACGAGCGGTGTTAATCGGAGGTGACGGTCGACGAAGGTTGCTAGAGTGAAGATGGAGTTGTAAAAGGTTCTGTCTAAGAAGATGGGAGGTTTGGACGAATGGAGGCGGAAACAAAAAGAAATGCGTGTTTTAGGTCAAAGGCATTTGCATACTTTAGAAGAGGCTGGGTCATATCTGTGTAGTGAAGACCTCGCGCACATGTTTTTATGTCTATGCACTTCAGAAAAACAAACACACTGCAAACCTTTATATCTGCGCCTGGTCTGCACCTCGCAGACAAAAGAAGCCACACAGATCTGCAGAGAAAAAACAAACACCCTCTAAATGTTTTAGGTTCCTCTATGACATTTTAATAGTCTGCCGACCTAATTCCATAACATTAACTCTTATTGATTAATGTTTCATTTAAGCGACCATGCTACGTCGATTTCCTCACATGACCATTTCTCCTTATCCAAAAATGACAAAGTTCATGAACTTAACTAATTCATGCCCCTTTCAGGTTTCGACTTTGTCGAGTAATAAATTTTTTCACATTATCGCTAACATATGTATTTTTAAGAAAATCTAAGAATTAGCTCAAATCAAAATCTTTACCTAGTCATGATAATGAGTCTACAAAAACATTCGCTTTTGACTAGTCTTCTACATAAGTGATGCCCATAAAGACATACTTTATTACTTGGTTGAATCTGATCCATAACATACTATGGTTCTAAATAATTTTGGGACACTTGACGATAATATCAAACATAAGATCATTCCATTTACCCATAGGTATAGGTAAAGGTCTCAAGTTCGCTCACGATATTTGATGTCGTTTTCTCACTTTCCAACCAAAACATATATTCTATCATCTACATAAGAACAATCTAAGCAAATAACTCTTTTCCTAGCTTCTTGTGCCGCAACTCTCTTGGATCTTGACGTCGAATCCAAAGTCGATGTACCTTTAATACTTTTGCCTTTAGGGTTGGTTTTCTCTCACTTGGCAACTACTTTTGGTTAACATTTAATTTTATGGTTAGGAGTAATACACAATGTATGTACATTTCTCAATTATATATATATATATATATATATATATATATATATATATATATATATATATATATATATATATATATATATATATATATTATATTCAAAGTAATTATTGTGTTATTATATGTATAAATGTGGGCCAATTAAATTTACTTATTTTAAGAAAGTGATTAATATATATTATTGAATTAAATATAATTGAAAAATATCATCTTAATTAATTACAAGGGTAATTTAGTCAATAAATATATATTTAATAAAAGAAAATTGCATTTTTTAAGGGATCATATATTCTATTAATTTCAAAAATCTGATTTTACGAGTTACAATTCTTTTAGTTTGGACATTCTGACAAAATATGTTTATGAGTATACTCAAAAATAATAATATTCTTGAACCATAAATAATAAAAATATTCTTAAACCTATTTCTTGATTATGACTTTAAAAACTTCTTGTAAAATAACAAATTCTTGAACAATCAATTGAAGAATAAAAACAAAAAATACATTATTTATTATAGAATACGGGTAACAATTGTTAAGAATTACATTTATTGTTAAAGAATAAAACTAAAAAAACTTTCAAAACGGGAAAGAAAACATCAAATCGAACAACGACACTAATACATTCTAAAAGAATAATGTTGCTTAGAAGCACTTTCAATTTTGTGGTCCATTCTTTAAACATCAACTTCTGTGATTCGAACAGAATCATAATCTGTGATTCCATTCCAACAGAATTGAAATTTGTGATTCCATTCAAATAGAATTGGAATCTCACAAATATCATCCATTGAATTATCTACATAAACAAATTGATTTTTATCATATAAGAAGAAGTAAATTTGATATGAAAATAGTGACAAACTACCTTCACTTTCTACTTTAGATATAAGAAGAAGGTCATTGACACAGGTGGCAGCTAGCGGAAGAAGAGAATAAGACGAATGATGGCAGCGGACTTTGACCAATTGCAACAGCTCCTCCACAACTCCTTTCTCAGGCAAGAAGGTCGCGACATCTGGTGATGGACGCGTCTTCGAGCGGCAGCAACTATAGCGACAGGCGGCTGTGGTGCATTCCTCCTTACACACGAGTGAAATGGCAGAACCCCTTGTCGGTCTCTATTTTCAGCCTTCACGAAAAGATAGCAACAACAACCCTCGACATGGCGGTGGATACGGTGGTCGGAGGAGCAAGAGGGTAGGGTGGCGGCCGGTGGTCGGAGGTATAAGGATGGAGGTGATGACTGGAGATGGTTTGATTAGGGTTACAGTTAACATTGGATGTGGTTTTAAAAAGCAGACGATGGATGGAGAAAACCTAGGTAGCTGAAGTCAATGGTTATCATAATTATAAGATATTATTTGTGGAACCTAATTATCAAATTACCTATTTACCCTTATTTATTTATTTAATTGTTTATTTTTATTTTAAAATTTGATTGACCTACATTTATGCATACAATAACACAATAATTACTTTGAATACCTGAACCTAGCTCTCTGTGTGTGTGTGTGTGTGTGTTTGTGTGTGTGTGTGTATATATATATATATATATATATATATATATATATATATATATATATATATATATATAAGAACCTTAGGAATAGTACCTTTTGTGGCTTTAGGTTTTTGCCACTAATCTTTGGTGAATTTGACGCTTTTCATCCTTGAAGTAAAAAACTTTTACATTTTTGTGTTTTGATTAAGTTTTTTTGCCTCTAGGTTTTTGCCACAAATCTTTAGCGACTTTGACACTTTTCGTCCCTGCAGTTAAAACTTTTACATTTTGACGTTTTTGCCACAAATTTTTAATGACTTTGATACTTTTCGTTCTTACAGTCAAAACTTTTACATTGTGACATAGAAAATGCCTCTAGGTTTTTGCCACAAATCTTTAGCAACTTTGACACTTTTCGTCCCTGTAGTTAAAATTTTTACATTTTGATGTTTTTGCCACAAATTTTTAGTGACTTTGACACTTTTCGTTCTTACAGTCAAAACTTTTACATTTTGACGTTGAAAACACAAAAAACCACCTTTAGACTTTTACCACCGTATTTTCCCAACTTTAGCAACTTTCACACTATTGCAACAACATTTTTGGATTTTCTCCACCAGTGTCTATTCTTTTGGTTGTTGTACACTTTTGACATCTAATTTTAGGGGTTGTCAACTTTCTTCCCTATTTGTGCCGATTTAATTTTCAGCACATATCATTTAAAGATTGTCGATTTGTCTCATATTATCCCAATAACCATGTAGCCGTGAGTTTTTTATTAGTTTAAAATAAAATTTAAGAAGATAACACTTGTTTTCCAAAAAAAAAAAAAAAAAAAAAAAAAAAAAAAAAAAAAAAAACAAATGTTCTATGTATTTGAATATGCAACAAAATATAGATAATTTCCGGTTGAAAGTTTGTTAGTGTAAAAAGATAAGAAAAAAACATTTTGTACCAATTTTATGTCCAAACTCTAACAAAATCTTGAATACAGGATAGGTATGGAAGAGATTTGAATTTTAAAAACACTTTTAAGATTATTTATATAGCATTAATGACCAGTATTCTCTTGGGCAATATGTACACTACAAATAAGGCAATTAATAAATATTTCTAAAGAAATGAGACTATTGGTTATTGTTTGTGACCAAGATTATTCTATTTTTAGCATAACGAGACTATTGGTTATTGATTGTGACCTAGATTACTGTGACTATCAGCACGACCCAACAACCAAAATCAATGCGTAATGATAACAAAGAAAATAATGTAACTCTAGTTTCAAATCTTGAAAAAAGAAAAATAAAAATTCGGAATTTATGTTGGGCACCCTAAATTGAATGAAGAAAGTTGTTATGGGACTTATGATGTTTGGCATACTTACTTTGATGTTTGGCATACTTACTT